CGGTTCTGCTCCGGAACAAAAAAAATGGTGGTCCGTGACGGCTTGTGTTTGTATTCAAAATAAAATTCGGACCCAAAAATTACAGAAAAATAATAAATGTTTATTTTTATCAGAAAGTAAGTAATTAAAAGGCTCTAGCAAGCGTGCTCTTGTCGCAACAATGGAAAATAGAACAAGCCGGGTAAAAGAGACGAGAAGAACGGATCAAGGCACAGAGCATGATCTCAGAAGCAGCACGTCATCGAATGATATCCGGTGAAATGCGAGACCTCTATTCCGCTAAAAAAAACTTGAGCGCCGAGAATGCCAGCTCCATGCTGACCTGTGTGGACGGTACATGAAGGGCTGCTTGCACTCGAGTGGACAGTTCCGATTGGCGTTCCTTTCATTCTCCCCAAAATTTCAATACATTCGGGTTTCTTGGAAGACTTGGTTCCTTAACCAGCATTTTGAGCAAAAATGCTACGTCCAGTGTGCCTAGCTCACTCGTCGAATCAGGGTGAGTGCCAGCCTCAGCTTCTTTTTTTCTTGAGAAACGCTTCGAGGGTATCTCCCGGTTCCTCTGGGGGCCAGAAAATACTGAAATACCTGAACTTTCCCCCAAAACCGAAAAGTAAATTTTTCCATTTCACTCCGGAACAAAATATTAAACGACATTTCAATTACGTTTTCGTTCCGCTGAAAAGTATCATTCTTTTTCGTTCTTCGGTTTTTGTTTTGCCACGCTCTGTTGAGGTTATTGAAACTGGCTCCCACTGGCACACATATCACAATCAGAGTACACTTATGTGGGCTTATCAGTGCAGTTTCACTGCACCGACCAAACAAACATGTGGGTGCAACCTATATAACCAACTTTTTCAAGAAAACCAGCCATTTATAGGGGGCTGCAACTCGTACAAGGCTGCGACTTACAGACCAGGATATACTGTAGCATGTATCATTTCAGGACGGGGGGCTTTATTCCCGATCGCCAAACTTCGAAACTTTCTTTGCCGTCATTGTTTATCGCTGCCGTCCCTCTTAGAATGGGTGTTTTCGTTCCATTGTCGCCCTCACAGGCCCTGAGCAAGAAGGAGCACAAGAACTCGACCAATGGATGCGATAGCCCCGAGCCGGACCCGGACCAGTACTCACTGACGCCTCGGTCAGAAGCCAAGTACAGCAAGATCAATGAGGAGTTTGAGCTGATGATGCAGCGCAGCGCACAGCTCAATGGCTCAAGGGTGAGCCCCCGTCCTTCCCTCTTGCAGCCCGGGGCGGTCGTTGAACGGCAATTTTTGCGCCAAAAAAAAAGAGCTTCAGAACGCGTTGGTCGACCTTCGTTTTGTCGTGGACCGACTTTTTTTGTAACTGTTCTCAGCGTGCTTGGGAATGTAGCCGACATAAAGTTCGTGCAGCTCGATAAAAAAAGGAAAGTTCATAATTGCTATCTCGTGTGTTTTGTGAGCGCCTCTCGAAGCATTTTTATGCTGCGTTGATAATTGGGTCGCGACGGACCTAGATGTGCAGCTGTCGTGCGAGTGCCTTTGTTTTCTTTCAAGTGCCTCTTTTCTCAAATTTGGTACTTCTTACGAATGCACTTCGGTTCCTCTTGCACCCTTTGTAACTCTCTTTCGAAAACTTTTGTCGTACTTGAGTCGTGGCAACGTTTTCCCTAACATAACTTTTACTACTGTTTTTTCGTTTCAGGGCCAGCCGTCCTTGAGTCAGGGCATGAGCTCAATGTCTGGCTACTCGTCGCAGGAGGGACTCATGCAGCCGTCTCCGCAGATGTCTCACCCCAGTGTCAGCCCACGGCCTAGTTCTTCAGGTAACCCTCCATCTGCGGTTCTCCGCACGGACGAAAGTCGAAACGCGCAGGAATGCCCGTTGTTAGTGGTGAAAGGTCTGCCTCATCGGTCTGCGAGTACATAATGCAAAGTTTGCGGGATCACCAAGTTTAGTTTGTTTCTGAATATTTTACGACCTCACGGGGACTAACTATGCGGAGCGCAAGTTTATCTGTTCCTTTTGCAGGGGCTGTGGTGACACCAGAATGATAGTGGGTAGACCCCAAAGCCTTGAGGTCTACCCACTATCGTTCAATCAGAGCCAATCGGAGCTCGGTGTTCTGATGTCAACACAACCCCTGCAAAATACTGGACAAGCTTGCACTCCGCGTAGTCTAGTAGGCATGCATTGTGCGTTTCATTTTGAAAAGCTGAAATATGCGTTATCACCCCTTACATTGGGCATCGATAGACGAGAGAGTGAAACAATGAACGGAGGGGACATTGTTGAAGTAAAGGGACCTTTCTGAATGGCAAAATTATTGCTATACTGAGAGCTCCAAGTATTAGCTGCTGGATCGGGCTATTCAAAGCTTTTTCTATGCGAGCTTTAATGTCTGAAACGGTGTCATTTTATTGTGACGAAAAAGAACATTGCTGTGCTCTGTCGAAGAGTATGCATTGAAGTAGGCATAAAATGACGCCGGTGATACGTGGGCAATATGAATTCTGGCAGTGATTGTGACTATGGAATTGTAGCAATGATAGAGTACAGGCTGATGAGACGGTAAACTCTCAACACCTTGAACACCCGGGGCTTGGGAATAAAAAAAAGTGTACAACACACAAATAGGTGTGTGTTGTCCGCTTTTTGTCCCCAAGTCTCAGTGTTCAAGATGACAAAATAGTAGCACAAAACTTGCCTGAATTGGGTAGGATATGGCACAACAATCAATGTTTAACAGCCATATGGCCTCATGAGTTTCAAGAAAAGATTTTGTTTTCTAGTTCAGCATTTTCTTGGTTTGAGCTGGCATTCAGGTGGCACAGATGTCACATTGCATCCCTGTTTCAATTGACAGTTGTTGGCGCAGCACATCGGAAGTACTTGTCAGTGTACAATCAGGAAACGAGGGAATTAGAACGCACTAATGGTCATTGGTGCTACCTGGCAGTCCTGGCAGTGACGGGATAAATCTATGTCTGTTTGGGAGGTTTCTCATATGCTCTCTTTCAACGCTTACTTGCATTGTACAGAGCGTTCACGAGAGAAAAAAACTGTGTTTTTCGGCCTGCGTAAATAAACCAGGTGCACATTGTGGAAAACTGAAACTCCGTGAAAATGTGAGGCTAGCAGTTTGCTATAAAACGTGAAAGTTTGAGAACACGACATTACCCAGGTCAAAAGAAAATTGAGAAGGACAAATTTTCTCTGTGAGCTGACACTTACTTGAACCCAATGTCTTCAAAACAAAACATTACGTTGTGGGCGTCCTGAAGAATTATTTCAGTAATGAAAGCTTGTCAGTAAGAAAAAAAAAACAGTATTGTCTTTCTTGCCAGGACAAGTGTTCTTCGCACATGTAACTGCCACGGACGTCCACAATCTCGGTTCTTGTTTCAACGTTCTTAGGCTTCGGTGGACGTCGGCTCATAAAGGAATTTCGTCCTTCCCGGTTTGATCCGCGCAGCGTCGTGCCTTTCAAACCTTCGCGTTCTATCCTAACGGCTAGTGTCACGTTCTCAGAGTTCCTGGTTTCTGCGACGTGCAGTCTATTTACGCGGGCCCAAAAGCGCTGTCCTCTTTTCTTACTAACGCCCGGTACCGGGCGTTTGTGAGAACGGATCGTTGATGCTTTGGCGTCAGCGGTTCGTTCTCGACTCGGGGTCGCACGTTCCGACGCTCGATTCCGCCGGCTCCTCCCAGGTGGGGCGCTCCTAGACATGAACGGAGTGACTTCGAACGGCTACCACCGGCCGGCGTCTCCCTCCAGCCTGGCCGGCTGCAGCTCCCCGGTAACGAAAGGAGGTGCCAAGGGGGCGTCGCCCAGCAGGTCGAACCTCAGGGTGGTCATCCCGGGCTCGCCTTCGCCCACGAGCCAGCTGGTGAGTGCCACCACCGTCGCCTGCCGTTCGCCAGGGCGCTCGGTGACGCGCGGCGGTCTCGTAGTAGGGTTGCCCGGCCACGAGTACTGTTGAAGTCATGATCCAAGCGTTGTAGTATCAGTGAACACTGGCACAGTGGAGATAGAGATATGTTGAAGCAAACATAAAGAACTATGTGCTACGTTTGTACTGCAGGTGCAGTCGTTAGACGTGTAGATATATAGCCGCCTTCAGTCATCTACAACAGCGTGCGGAGTGCATCACCGCCTGCGGGTACTATACTGAAGAGTCATGTGGTCCTTGGAAAGAGGAGATTCCAAACTTTCATTTGAATGTAACATTTTTCATTTCCATCACTGTATAAAAAGTTACAGCCTAGGAGGCAGAATTTATTGATCACATCTCGTATTATTTTGAGGATACATAGAGCGGCGATATCCATTTGAAACAAAAATATCTTAATTATGTTTTTGCAAACTTTAACTTCAAAAGGGCTTCAAAAAAAAAAAGAGTGACTTTTTTTTTCCTTTTTTTTTTATAAAATTAAAAGTTGCACACAACCTTTTGGTTAGATACTGGCACTCTCCACTTCACAGGGAGCAGATTAAACTATTGTACCATGCTTCTTATAAAAAAGAATTTGTATGCTGAGGTGTTTGTACCAAAAACACTCTCCGTGTATGGGCCATCGATTGCATGTAAACGGCCCCGGTGATGTTGCAGTTCCTGCCACATTTTAACCAGTGGAACACGCACATTAAACATTCGGGATTTTGTAATAGCATGAAAACAACTTCCAAGTGTGACCTACATAATTTTGCATTGATGGTAAACGTAGCTTGTGTAGTAAACTTTCTTTCCCTGCTACACCTTGCGAAAGATCTTTTTGGAACAGTTCGTGATGACATAAAAAAGACTCGCAAGTGTGATCTACATAATTTCACATTATTCTAAGTGTAATTTGTATGTTAAATGTTTTGTGGAACTTGCAAAGCAAGATCTACTTAAATTAGTGTGGATTGTTTGTACATGGCACTTGTGCAGCAAATTTCTTACGCCCGCTTCGTCTTGTAAAGATGTTTCCAGAACACCCTGTTTGTAGTTGCCTCATGTTTGATAATCCGTAATGACATAAAAAAAACTTTCGAGCGAGATCTACATATTTTCACGTAGATTGTCGACGTAACTCGCACAGCAAATTTTTTGCACCCACATTCACTTGCGAAGATCTTTTTGGGAGACCCCATACATGGGTGCCTTGTGTCTGAGGTTCTGTAATAGGCTTGTTCAGTTTACCTGCTCCTCCTGCATTGATGCAGAACAGTGTAGGGCAGTGTATTTTCGGTATTAGTAGAGATATGACCGTAAGTAGACTGTCCACACTTTTCTGCGCCGGTGCAGGAGGTGCAAGTAAATCGGACGAGCCTAATGACAAAAAAAAAAAAAAAAAATCATGAGCCATTCCGCTCTGTGAAGGTTGATGACCAGCAAAGCTGTTTAGCACACGACACAGACATTCCTTGAGGAGCTGAAGGAAACTAGACACCCGCGACGGGACCGCCACCCGACGGAAACTAGACACGCTCAATAGCACTGCCACCCTGGGAGAGCGGAAGGAAAGGAAACCAGGCACGCAAGTGCTTGGAACGACGACAAAAAGAGGGCGGTGCGTGCGTAGACATGGCCGACGCGGGTCGCACAGCGGCAAATCTTTGAGAAACCTTTATTATCTAACTGAGAGTCTACTGATCTTGAAAATGGTGCCTATTGATAACTGATCTACTGAATAGACCTATTGCTAAATTACCCAAGCATCAAGGAGACTGCAGGGAATGGTGTTCCACGTGCCGTGCGTGTTGGCGTCTGCAGCAGTGATTGTTCTAAAGCAAAAGCCTAAAACAAATGGCATCTTGCACGCGCGTTCGTCAACAGTTTATAGTGGTTATTTACTTCTAATCTTTTATACGGGGAAGGCGTGCTCATGCGGCGGTGCGAGCGTAAAGATTTTAGTCACTGCACAGGAAAAATCCTTGTGACCCTAGCCATAAACAGCTTCTGTAAAATAACTTCCGAGTGAGATCTACATAAATTTGCATCAATTATAAATGGAACTTGCACAGCAAATTTTCTGCACCCACTTTCACTTGCGAAGATCATTTCCGAAGATCTTGTACATGGGTACCTTGTGTCTGAGGTTCTGTAATAGGCTCCAGTGGCGTAGCCAGAAGATATATTCAGGGTGTGTTTCATGGTCAATCACACACACAATAAAAAAAAAAAAAAGAAATACTTGTATATATATAACAAAGTAAAATTTCGGAGGGCCTTTTCACACCTGAACAACCTGACACCTGAACCCCTCAGACTAGAGAGAATCTTTTTGGAACACCTTTTCTGCACCGCGCCAGCGGGTACCGTCGGTCGGGGGCGATGTTGACGCTGAGAAGGGCCTCTCGGTGCTGTTCCCGTTCCAGCACGACCCGTCGCACCTGTTCCTACAGCAGTCGATGGTGCGGACGTCCAACGCCTCCCTCACGACCCCCGTGGTGTCGGTCACAGCACCCGGGATGTCTGCCATGGCCGCCTATCCGTCCTCCCTGGCCGCTGGCTTCCCCCCGAGTGAGTGCCCCACTGATTAGGCGTTACGGCGTTCCCGCCCATGCATCGAAAGTTGTCCCAAAGGGGTAGAGGTCGTCCTAGAGGTCGTCCTCGACACTGTCCTTAACGTCGTCTTCGATGTGTGCGTGGCATATTATGACCACTTCATCACCGTACCATTTCTGTTTTCATTAACGGTGTTCCTGTAAAGCTATCGCGTTTCATCGCGCTTGGTCAAATGAATGTGCGTGTAATTTTTAGATGTTGTAAACACACCAGCTGGAGACGCGTTGCAGGCACCATTGTGTGGCAAACCTGCTTCAAGACAAAATATGATAGTCTTTGGCATAACGGCAAGATCGATGACTGGCAACAGAGGTCCCGGAGCAGAATGCTATTGCCGCTTTCGTACGCACCATTGTCCTGAATGTTTTAGACGAGAATGCACGACATGTGTGAGCGCGAGTAGTTATTTTGTAAAATATGAAATGAATTACTTTATAAATTAGTTGTTCCCAAAACCCTGATTCTTTTTTTTTTTTTTTTCGTAGAAGACGGGCAACACTGTTTGTAGGTCAAACTTCATTGAATTTCGTCAAAAGTTTGAATGTTCGCCGAACCGGGCGAATCTCGAGATTTGGCAAAACGTTTGCGACATCCCCTTCCTGCAATGACTGGCACTACCACAGAGGTTTCGTGGTTTTGAAGGTGGGATATGAAGGCCGCGTTTTCTCCGTGTTCCAGACGACTTCCCCCTCAACCCTGAGCTGGGCCTGTCTGGCTTCAACTCGCCGGGGTTGATGCACAGCTGGTCGACGCAGGGACCCCTGGCCACAGCAGTGCCTTCGGGGGCACTCCAGTCGCACTCCAGGTGAGAGCAGGGCACGCCCGTGAACCCATAAACTCATGGTCATCACCGGTCAGCAAATACATCTGTCACACATCAGACGCTACTGGCGCCTAATGTGCGACGTCGCACAATAGGTGCTATGGGTACATCCATCGCACATTAGACCCTATTGGTGCCTAATGTACGACGTCGCACAATAGATGCTACAGATACATTTGTCACACATTAGACATTATCCGCCTCGGTGGCTCCGAGGTGAGAGCGTTGGCCTACGGATCCCCATGTGGCGGGTTCGAATCGTGGCCGAGGTGCCTGTAATCTGACAGAGGCTTATTGCGGAGAAGACGCTTTGGTAACCAAGCTTTCGGTTGCACGTCAAAAGATTCCCAGGTGGTCGAAATTAATCCTCAGTCCTTTGCTGGGGCGTGCCAGATGCCCGTCGTTGGTTTGGCACGTAAAACCCCCAAATTTGACGTTCACATTAGACATGATTGGTGTCTCATGTGCGCCATCGCACAATAGATGCTACAGATACATCTGTTGCTCATTAAACATTATTGGTGCCTAATGTGCAACGTCACGTTCGACACTACAGATACATATGTCGCACATTAGACACCTTTGGTGCCTAATGTGCGACGTTGTACATTATATGCTACGGATACGCTGCCATAGATTAGATGCTATTGGTGTCTAATGTGCGACATTGCACATTAGCTACTATTGGCGCCTAAAGTTCAGAATCGCACATTAGATGCTATTGGTGCCTAATGTGTGACGTCCCGCATTAAACGCTATAGACACATCCATTGAACGTTAGATGCTATTAGTGCCTAATTTGCAACGTCATATTTGTCGCACATTAGATGTTATTTAGCGCCTGATGTGCGACGTCATACATTAGACGCTACAGATATATCCACCGCACATTAGACGCTATTGGTGCCTAATGTGCGACGTCACACACGAGACACAACAGATGCATTAGTTTGCTATCAGACACTGTTGGTGCCTAATGTGCGACGTCGCTACAGATGCATCTGTCGTGCATCAGACGTTATTGGCGGGGAGATCGAACTATGGGGATGCTTTGTCCAGCTTTTTTTCAATAGAGCTTGGTGTTTACCCAAAAAAGTCCTGCACATTTAATTACTCTCAGCCAAACGCGAGGCACAGACTGCGGCAAGTGCTGAGTCAGCGTTCGGATCGAACTCGTGTTCAATTGGCGCCTCAGTGATTGAACACGAACCTCAGCCGAACACTGAAACAGTGTTTGGCTACGTCAGAAAAATGCTGCTCTAGAAATGCAAAAATATATATATTTTTTTTATAATTGTGTTGTTTTTGCGGGTGCCGGTCTGCCGGTCTCATCCTGTGAGTTACTGAAGACACATTGACAGGTTCAGCTGCTCTTTTCAGACTTTGCGCACTTTTAAATTCGTAATCATGTAAGCTCTACTCTTCCAGTTGCATCAGCGGTCTACCCTTCATGGCTTTTGACACGGAACGTTGCCCAGATCCCTGAAAAAAGTGTAACAGAGCACCTTGGAGATGGTCACAAAATGTGTGACACAAATTTCATTGGAAACAACGAAAAAACATAACTGAGAAGAAAGATAGAAATCTTTCACGTTTCCCAATGTGAATTGAATCCACCCCCAAATTTCGATCTGGACGCTCATGCCCCGAGCCAAAAGGGGAGACTTGTTAACTAGTAGTTCATGCTTTGCTACATCAAAAACGGGAAGTGAACGGCTATCCGTGTGACCATGTCACGTGTCACGCAAGAGATTCAAAAGAGTCGCAAGAGAGCGGGGAGGTGAGCAAAACCGATGCATTCTGTGTGTGCCGAGTTTAACTGTGGGATAGAGGTAAATTGAGCATTTAGATAGAATTTTGTGTGACCGTTCTGAATGACACTGGTTCACTCTGCAAGAGGAGAGGTAGATAATACATATCTGCCGTAATATCCCAAAAGATGCCCCACCCCACCCCTGAAAGATAACCAGCCCCTATTTTTGGCATGATTTGCTATTTTTATTTTGTAAAACAAAATCTAAAAAAAAAAATCATTTTATAAAGTTTTTTTTAATGCACATTGAAAGTTAGCCCACTGCTTATTTTCACCTGATTTGCCTTCGATTTTAAACGGGTTACCTCTACGGATATTACGGTAAGTTAGCGTGTAAGGCCTTTTGCCTAGTAGGACCGCTTTCTAGCAAAGACTGACAAAACCAGGATATGAATATAGGGAAGCAAGATTGAAGTAGGCACATAATGCCGGTACAATAAGATATGTTAAACACTGATGAATATAAAGATAGATTTAGCGAAACTAAGTTGAAGTCCTCGACTTGTTATACCGGTGCAGGCTTTGAAGGCACTGAATTTGTGAAGATCCTGTCATAGCGGTAAGATTTTCTCAGAGAGATACAAACAGCAGTTCTACTGTACACTGCTCAACACAGTTAACGCTAGCGGAATATCAATGTGTTTTCGGACCTTGCCCGAACAGGGTATTAACAAACGCCGTACCTTGCCACCTACAGTGGTGCCCCGCATGAGTCCGTAATTCCATCACACCAGAGTAGTCATCGACATTACTTAAAATGGCAGGCTAAAACACGTAGGTAGGAAACAAGCACAGGCCAGACATCCGAGAGGGACGGCCCGCTATCCTCCATCTGTCACTAACTGTAGTTTTAACTGCGCCCTCTCGGTTGCGAGAACTAGGCAGGGAGGAACTGTGGCAATTGCTTGTTTGCGTCGTGTTGTGCAACGTTGATGCAAGCGAAACTGGACCAAACTCTCTCTGTTGTCCCGTTTGCGCAGTGGCAGCCCAGGTGTCCTGGGCTCTCACCTGTCCCTAGGAAGCGCCACGCCCCCCCAGGCCTCCTCCCCGCTCCCCATCCGGATCAAGAGCGAGCCCATCTCCCCGCCGCGGGGAGACTCCTCCCTCCACGGGGGCGGAGCCTCGTCGGGGGGCCGCCCACCGTCGGCCCACCTCTCGCCCCCCGGACAGCCCCCCCTGACTCCCTCGACGTCTTCCTCGCCGGACCCCTCGGGCGACTACGACGGCGCCAAGCGCCCCCGGCTCTCCGCCGACGGTTGGCCGACGTAAGGCCGGCCCCTGGCCGACGGAAGGCCGACCTCCAACTCGGCTGTGGTGCCCCGCCTCCCCGTTTTGTCAACCTCCCTTTCTCCGAGGAGAGAGAAAGAAAAAATACGACACCGAGTGTGCCGCGCGTGCGTTTTCCGTGGGGGTCGTTCTCCTCTCTGTGCGTGTGTCATTGCGTGTTTGTGTATCTTGACTCTTTTTTTGTTTCCTTTCACCACCACCCGCTCCCGCAAACAGTTCTCCTCGTTTCCGACTCTCGTCGCCGTCTTCTCTCTCGCCATCCGACGCCGGCGTACCTCGTCCATATGGTTGGGGCCGTCGCAACTTCGATGCCGGCCACCCGCTTCGGCGATTTGTTCCTTGCGCGGAGCGGCGACTGGCGCTGCCGTACTTTACACGGCAAGGGCACCCGTAAACTATCGCGGGAAAGAGTCCGTAAAAATGTGCCCGCGTTTTTCACGGAAAGGCTCCCGTAAGTGGAGTGCATTCATGTACAGTCGTAGCGCTTTGGTTTCCTCCCACTTTGCATTCGCTTTTGCCCCCTTTCCCCTCAAGGAGAAAGGGGGGTGTTCGAAGAAAGGTCAGAGAGGTCACAGCTCCCGCGATGAATGCCACCTTTGGGACGTTGCAGAAACGTTTTCACCGTAGCGTCGCCGCGGCTGTAAATATGACGAAGTAGATGGCAGCACTCGTCCCCTTCACTTCGACCAAACGGCGATAGTGGACGGCTGCACAACGCAGGCAGCGGCCTCGGGGAAAGAGGGTAGCGGAGGAAAGGACTTCGAAAGGAGTCGGCGAGGGCGTTTTCTTTGGTCTCCAGACGAGACGCAGCGGACAGGATGAAACAAAAGCGTCGACAACAATCGTTGCGCAGCTTCCTGTGCGATTTTCTTGCCCCTCTGCCTTCAGCTCGTCGGGCCCTTCGCGGACATTTTTTTCTCGGGAGCAGATACGTCGTCGATTTCTGTCGAAACGACACGTGGCGAGAGGCGGACGTGGTTCCGAACTGCCGCACGTAGAGACTCCGCCGGCGTTCAGTCGCGCCGAGGAGTGTAGTCTTAAAACACTCGAGACGGGGGAAAAAAAAAAGAAGCCGTGTAGAGCGAGACGCGTAGCAAGCACGTGTGTTATCCCGCCTCCACCCCCCCCCCCCCTCCCCGAAAACGCGGGAAAGCCTTCGCCACTACCAGCCAGCTGACCAAGACGGCGGGAAACATTTGTAGGGAAGAGCGCAGCACGTCGTGAATTTTCTGGCATACCAAAGTTAGTTGTTGTTGTTGTTGTTGTTGTTGCAGGAAGAGCCACACCTCGTTCCTCTCCCGGACCCGGCCTCCCCCTCCCCCAGTTTCCGCACCCCCGACCGATCGGGGGAGCTTTGTGGGAGGAAATTGGGGAGGGGGTGGGGCGGGAGGGGAGGGGGGAGCCGCACCACGTGGCACAAACCCCAGCCGGCTTTCTAGGGCGCGCAGAGCAAAAGAGAAGCAGTTGAGACGACACGCCATATTTTTGGTAATTCCGCTAGCCGTAAAGCACTTACACCGCGAGCCTTGTTCTCCTCTCTTACCTCCCGTTTCCTTCTTTCCCTTTCACGCCGCCCTCCTCCCCCCCCCCCTCCGATATTTCGGGGGGGGGGGGGGGGGTACAAAATGTGGGCCCCCCCCTTCCCCTCCCATCCCCACTTTGCAAAAAATGCACGTGTCGTGTGTGTTTTAAAAAAAAAAACAAAGTGCATGTGTTTCTAGTGATTGTAGTGCTCGTGTGCCTTTTTGACCGCAGATACACAACATGCGGCGTCGAGAAAGATGCGACACCAAGAGGAGAAAGGGAAAGGAGAAAAGAAAAAAGCGCATACTTCCCGCTGCGGCGTCGCCGCCAGCGCGCACCACTGGCGATCATGCGTCGAGGTCTCAGTACTATTATTATTATAATTATTATTATTATTATTATTATTATTATTATACACGCTGCATATAAATATATATACACATATATATATTTCATACTTGAAAGCACATGCTCATCCCCGTTTTTCTCCCTCGCCCCTCTTCCCTGCACCTCCTGAAAGAACCGACCATTTTTTTTACGAGTGTCCGGTTGACCTGTTGACGTTTTCGGACGACAGCCAGCGCCTCTCAGCTGAAGGCGGGAGATGGCGTGAGAGAGGCCACTTGAAATTCGTTTCAACAGGCTCGCATTTGTCTTTTTCCCCCGCGCGTCGTCATAGTCGTCTGTGTTTTCCGTTGCGTGTCTTCCTCTCGCGGAATATGGACTTTTGCGTTTCTCGCCGTTCCGGTTTTCGTTCTGCCCGCAAGCCCCTGCCGCTTGCCGACGAACGAAGATGCAGAAACGTCAGTTGCCGCGTTTCTATTGGGTCGCAGAGCGTTTCATTCTTCTTCCGCCTTGCATCTTTCACTCTGGACGTCGAAATCGTTGGGAGGAAAGGACAAACGACGCAGGGTTCGTCGCAATCTTGTCGACGACTTTTTGATTGGCATTCTTTCGACGACAGCCGATAATGTTTCGCGGACGATCGTGTCGGGGCACAGCTTTTAAAGAAAAGAAGCGCGATACACACACATGCAAAGAACACATCCTCACTTCCACACGCCATCAAGCGACGACGATGCCTTAACGAGAGAGTTGAAAGAAAGATGACAATGTAGACACTGTACGAAAAGAGAAAAAAAAGAAAAAAAAAAAAAGATCCCACATTGTTTGTTGTAGTTGTTAAAGTCGAACTGTTCAGAGGAACCAAGCCACACCGTAGAGTTGTAGACAATAGATTTTTTTCCTTGGACTGTTGTTTGCTTTTCCCGCCTTACGAAACGTTGAAACATCTATGTTGCGGACATCTGCGACGACCGAAGCGAAACAGCGGCAAATTTCTGCGAGGCCTACGAAAAAGACACTTCAAAACAAATTCTCCTCCTTTGTTTTTGTTTATAGGATTAGAAATTCGAAGGAAAAAAAGGCAAAATAAGCCGTTGAAGTTACGGAGGGACTTTTTCCGCGACTCTTTTATTTATTATGTCTTTTTAACAAAAAAAAAAGACGTAGACTTTTATAGGAATGCACACGGCGTCGAAGAGGCTGGCATGATTGTCGTGTTCACGAGTAATTTCGTTTTTTGTCTGGCGAGCTTTTTTCCCCCTATCTTGTCATGGAAGAGTTTTTAAAGCGTGTTTGTTGCAATCTGCCACCAGGGCAGGAAGTCTGGAACGCGCAGCAGTTTGTGTGAATATTTCCTTGCCCGAGTTTTGTAATCTATTGAGATGAGTTTAATATATTGCAGTGCAAGTTTTTTTTCCTCCTTTCTTTTGGTTGTCTATAATGTGTTTTCTATTTTTTGTTTCCTTCCAACACCCATTGTAATTTTTTTTTTCCCCCATTCTTCTGATATTATATTTCGTCTTCTGTTGTTTCTTTTTTAGTGTAAAGATACATCCCTTCATGCCCCTCGTTCCCCCTTCACATATAATATATTACATTTTTTAAGTGTGTATAATAAATGCAAAAAAATGACTCTATGAATGTTACGCATATTATATATATACATATGTTTAAAGCAACAAAAAGGGGGCGAAGAGATGCGCGATAGCGTGGGGGGTTTTGCAAGGCCCCGCCTTCGCCGAAGAGGAATTTTTGAACGTGCAAAACGCTGTGCCATGCAGACATAGAGGCGTTGCTGAATTCGTTCTCGCATAGCAGTATTGAGAGTTTGTTTCCGCTTAATATTGTGCTTTTCTCTGTTTCAGTTTTTTGTGTGTGTGTGCCAAAGTTTCTTCAATATTTTTTTTTTCTTTGCGAAAAGAAGGATGCATTGCGCAGAGACTTTGCTTTTCCCTTTTGACCTCTTTCATCTCGTTCGTCGAAGGACTTTCGGTCGCCGAGAAAGCCGTTTTTGCACGGCGGAAGTTCACGGAAACGATTTTTTCCCTTTTATTTCTTTTTCGCCCCCTTAGCTTTTTGCGAATGATGCTGGTCATCACCTTACCGTCTGCCCTTTTAAAGTCGGAAGGTGCACCGAACACGGGACAAACATGTCGTAGTCCAAGAGCCCTTAAAAAGAAAAGATCCGTGCATGTGCAATACGGTTGTACACTGTAGCAGAATCAAAACCGAACCCTGGGAAGCCAGAAAAACTATACAGGGCTGTTCTTCTTGCCAATCAAAAAACCCCTCCAACGTGCAATAGCTGCGTGCATACTTCGGGGAAAAACGCTACTTACAAATCTTTCGGCGAGAAACGTGAACTTGTAATGTGCGCTTGTACTTGAAGGAGGCCGTGCTTCTTGGAAGGCTGCGGGTTTGATTGGTCGTACGACGAGCCTCTACGATCGGCCCCAGCTTGAGTTTAAGAAACCGGGAACCGGATTTCTGAAATTAGTTTTCCACAACGGCCGAGGTTACAAGTGTTCTCTGCGATGACGCGGCAGTCACTGTCACGCGCGTGGCTACGAAAGGAACGTTGCCGTCTTTTGGGGAGAGAAACTCATGCCAGCCTCTTCCCCTCGAGAATGTTTTTTGTGACACCTCGTTCTCTGTTTTTCTTTTTTTTTTACCCCTTTCTTTCCCCACAGAGGCCAGATCGCGCACACTGTGTTGGTTGTTACATAGATTGCTCTCAGTGTGTCTGTTTGACTGATGGACAGACCAACACCCAACAAAAGAAGTAAGAAAGAGAAAAAAAGATTACACTTCACACGAAGCAGATCGTTGTGTACTATTTTTATCTGCCTGTGAAAAAAAAAAAAACGAGAAGAAATAAATGCGGTTCATTCATGGCATCTCGTCATGTCTTGTTTTCTCGCGTGCCCCAAAAAGTTCTGTTGTCGGTGCAAGTGACAAAGACGGTGACAAGGTATATATAGTTGCACTTCTTTACAGTATAGTTGCTCTGCACCGGTAACTACTGCTTTTAGTTATGCATAGTGCAAACCAGAGTTCGTAAGATGTCAAAACTTGCTCTCGCTTTGTGCCCTAGTAGTATTTCAGAACTTGCCCGTGCCTAATTATTACTTCACTTGTTGCCATCAGTGGGCTTGTCTGCTGTTCTGTGTTGAATCTACACCGGCGATATCTGCAATTGCCCCTGAAGCTGTTCTTAAGCCAGCCATTCACCCATCTTGCCCACATCATGTGACCCGACTACTTTGGTTAAGAACAGTTGTACGACAAGAGTGACAGCCAATTAGTTTTGTCTGTGAGTTGTATCTTGCTGCAGTCAGCTTTTGTGAAAAAATGAGAACATCAATAAGTTCCAAATGCTTCTTTACAGGTGTAGAAACTCGTTTTTGAGAGAGGGGTGAAATGGCCTTTTATTGAATACCCCTCCATGAAACACCACCCAGCTTAGCGAGCGATCCCCTGGTTTAGCCTGTCAGATTTGTCTCCCCGCTTAAATGTTTGATGAACTAACCACAACACTTAAAATCGGCATTCTTGAACTGTGGTCTGCGGACTTCAAGGGTCTGCGGCAATGTTGGTGGAGTCCCACTCTCATTTGGAGATTGATCTGCTGGATACAGGTAAGGCACTGAAGGGGCTCAAAATCGTTGGATCGAATGTCTTCGCAGCTACAGTAGAGTTCTTACGAATTGCAGTGCGCTCTTGCTGGCATATGAGTACATTTTCACTACAGATTTTCTTGGAGAACATGCCGCATAGCCATTTTCGCTTTCCACTGGGAATTGATGATTTCAATAGTTCCCGGCTTACAGCGACGAATGTTCCTCTGTGTATGTAACGTGTTTATTCAAACTATACAATAAAAACTGCAATTCTTTGCACATTCAATGCGCGTTGCGCATTGAACGTTTTTGTTATATGAACATGTTCGGGTGGCACTCGGTTGGTCGAACAACATTTTAGCGAACGCCGACTTTTCATTGAAAGACACTTTAGCAAATGTAGGCTGCCGCAAAATGGGGTTTACGGGTGGGCCAGTTGGGTGTACATTTTTGTAATGAGCCGCCACAGACCGTCGCCCCGAAGCGGTGTGAGTAAAATAGCGCCCCAGGTATTCGCTAAAACGTTGATTCGCTTATGTGACCGGTTGCTGTTTGCTAAAACATCATTCGCTCATGTGATATGGACTGAACATGTTCGGTCCAAAAAGGACCCCCAAGATTATTGGTTGTGGGGATTTTGCTGCGAAGTGTAAAAGAGCCTCTCAAAATTAATTTTCCATGAAACAGCATTGAAAAAAGTGACGACGCAAACTTTTGTTGAACCTGAGATACAAACTTCTGCATCGTATTGTCGTGCCGAAGACGGCATTGTGCAAACTTTGAGAAAATCCTTGTAAACCTAAAAAGCCATTGGATTTTTTTTTTTTTCCTTTGGGATTTAAAGTTAATGATTGAAATTAATATATTGTACTCTAGCCGTATTGCACTAAGATAAAATAACATTAATTTTTTTACACCAACGCTTAACAACATGTAGCAAACCATGAAATCCCGAGGGATAGCCCACCTAACATCAAGAGCCAGGGCCGGATTATGAGATTTCCGGGCCCTGGGCTAATGCTGGTCAGGGCCTTGAAATTTGAGATCATGATCATGATGATGATGATGACGAAAATAACGATGATGATGATGTTTATCAAAAATGAAAAGTTTCAGTAAAAGATGAAACCTACTTTATTAAAACGTTTCCACTTCGAATGCCTAGAAATGTATTAAGTTAGAGCAATAACTTTTGACAATATTTACAATGAAATTTCTGACTATACAATATATACAATTCGTATTGTACAGAATACAATCTTGCGTATTCCCTTTTGCACGTGAATGACACTAATACCCCTGTCAGACGGCAGCTAAAATGGCATTTACGCCAAATGGCATTCAGTGTAAATGTCATTTAGGCACTGCCACACGGCAACTCGAATGGCATTGAACCGAAATGCCATTTCAGGTAAACCTAGAGCACTATATAGCTCCTACGGAGCAGAGTAGCGCAATCCTTTGAACCCCGTGTTTTGCCGACAACATGGCCGACAGAGCGGCTCGGCGCGAGTCACGTGGTACTCAGGGTTCCAGGAGGCGGCCCGCCCTATGGGAGAATACATGGAGATCGACACAACACGGCTGATTAAAAAATGAGCGGCGAGTTCACACTTTTCAAAACTAGTCTGTCGTGAAGTTAGTAGAGCACTAAACACTTTATCAAAGTTTTAATAATATCGGATGTGTGTGCAAATTTTGAGAAGGCAATTTCCAAGTCAATGGCGTTTGAAGCAGACGATTTTTGCTCGCAGCGGAGATGGGCTTTTCGGGTTGGCCGGAGCGGGTCACGTGAATGGTGTGACGTCGCCATGCCGTCTGCTGCATGACGCCGCTCAGGCAATTTTTTAAAAAAAGTCAGGTCCTTGCGGGGCACAAAACTTACCGCAAATTATTCTAAAGTGTTCCATTATTATGTCAAAAATGATTGCGATTCCGTACATTCTCACAATACTGGAGAAACAACGATTTTCTCACGTTCTCCATGCATTTCTGACCACAGTTGGAACCTCCGGCCGTTCGCCGCTAGTCGCCGAGAGGCGGCGTTCTAGATTGCGCTACTCTGCTCCGAAGGAGCTATATAGTGCTCTAGGTAAACCGAGTTCGCAAAGCGTACTCTCGTCGGCAGCGCTCGGCACATGTGACGGGATTTTTTTTTAAAAGAAGGCATTAATTGCGGAAACAATTTTTACTTCGTTTTAATTACGAAAACAATTAGTTCAACGCATATTTTGCACACACTTTACGTTCCTAAATGTTTAACCTACTCACGGCTCCAGCGATCTAGTAGGCCTAATGGCTCTGAACCCTCTGAACCCTGCGCTGAACCGCTGTAACTGTCGTGAGCTCGCCTCGGTCGGCTGTTGGTTTGTTGGTTCCATTTCCAGTTACGCTCAACATTTGCGCGTTTTTATGATGTCGGAAGGAGCGCCTGCCGGCAAGAAAAGGCCACCTGTTAATTATACCACCCGCGAGACGTCGGCACAGCTACGTGAGACGAGCACCTCGAATGCCTTCGGTAGCAGAAGCGGAACGGCGGGTTCTGTATCGGCATTCGGGCGTTTTTAGAAGCCCTCGGTTTCCAAGGCAGATGTCGCAGTCCATCACAACACCGAAACCTCGAGGAACATGTTTGAGTAAGATATAACTTTGACGGTGGGTGTAACCAACGTGAGCACGCAAAACCACGACGCGTAAGACAATTAGCGGAGCGGACGGCCGCCTAGTCTTTGTTTTGCGTGTGTGGGTCGTCGCAGCACTGCGTACCTTGAACGAGTTCACTGCACGACCGGCTTGGTCGTGGTTCATACCATTATAGCTGTCTGCGCCTAGCAGCGCTTTAAATTTCGCGTTTGTTGCGCAGGCAACAGCTCCCGAGGTTGGCTGACATGCCTTATCAAATGTACAACCGCCGTGTAGAGATTCTGGGAAGAATGCAAGACGTCAAAAAGAGGTTATTTTTCTTTTTTAAGTGGTACAAATCTTGTAAATTGTGGTCTGTTGTTCTAATAAACGTAGTGTAGGTATTCGCCACCGTGACCTTTTACATTCCCATTGACGTGCTCCAAAATGAAATAAAAAGAAATGCTGCATAAAGTCAGTCTCTGATTGTGTCTATTTCTAGCTTTCTTTGATGTTGGAGAATCCCATTCTGTTTCAAAGCTAAATAAGCTACGTATGTTTACATGATAGGTGCACATTTTTATTCCAAAACATCCCAAAAATCGTTTAATAAGGTATTGCACATATACATTGAATACAGTTGCTGCACAGTTGCTACTTAAGATATCTACATGTTCCAGAAAACATCTGCTGCTGGGGGCCACCATAGAAGTAGGCAAAGTGATCTGGCTACATTACAGAAAAATCTATAAGTTCCTGGGATCGCTGCCTCTACATAACAAGTGCAGTTTAGTTGCAGCCATGGCCACTTATGTGACATTCTCCTCACTTGTTTTCAGACGTGCAATGCAAAAGCACTCCAGAAAGCGCAACCTGTGTGAGGTAACATTGGAAAAGCCGCAATGAAAGAATGTTGCGGGGCTGACAAGGACAGTGCAATAGCCAGCATCAGGGCTGCCACTGGTAGTGACCCTAAGATACCAGTGACAATGTCGGTGATGATGCCACAAGTTCCAGAACAGGCCGACGAAGCAGGCCTTTTAATGCCATCTTTTCCCACTTGGCTCAGTACAGCTTCCAGCCTGGACGGAGAGGCATCGCAGGCCAGCACTATGGGACGTGACACATCGTAGTGTGTTAGAACATCTGAGGATTCTAGCAGACCCTTGGCACGCTTGTAGACCTCTCCTTCCATCTTCGTCCAGGCCCACACCTTATCCTTATCCAGAAGGCAATAAAGGGTTCCAACTCATGGGCAGCCCCCTTCAAAAAGCAACCATAGAGATTCAGAGCTCCCAAGAATGACTTTAGTTCTGTCTTGTTCGTCAATTCTGAAGCTTCCTTGGTGGCCTTCACCTTTTCGGCCGAAGGACTGACGTCATCCTTGTTGGTACGGTACCACAGCTACTATACTTCCTCAACTTGGAAAGCGCACTTGTTAGCGTTCAGACACAGGCCATTGTCCTGGATGCGCTGCAGCACCCTCGGCAGCCTATCGTCGTGTTCAGCTCCCGTTTGTCCTCCGATGAGAATGTCATCCGAAATAGCCTACACTTCTACAAGGCCGTTCAAGAGCTCTTCCATATAAAGATCTGGGGTTCTGCCGGGCACTGTTAGTATATTATTAGAGGTATGAAGGGAAAAAGAAGTGCCTAAGGA